AAATATGTCTTGTATTATATTTTTTACCCTTGCAAAATAGGGTCCAAACCATGACAATGTGTGTCCTTTTGTATTGATTGAACTTTTATTATTAATGTGAATTTTCATAATAAGTTCATTCCTCAAAAGCAAAACTGGAAGGGAGGAGAGAGAGAAAGAGAAAGAGACAGAGACAAGAAGAGAAGAGAAGAGAAGAAAGACAAAAGGTAGGAAATGGTTCAGGGCGGTGTCTCAGGAGCCTTGAAGATTCTCTTTCCCTCGGAGGATGAGTTGGTAGCCCTTTGAGGACAGCCGGGCTATAAAGATTGGAGAAGAGAGAAATGTGTCTCCGTACCCACCCCAGTGTCCCAACGAGGACCAAAGCCACAGCCCAGTAAGTGGGCATGAGGAACCCCAAATCCAGTCTATACGGAGAAGGAACAAACACCACCGCCACCCTGTGCAGCTCCCAGAAAGCACAGCGGAGCCTGGGAGGCAGCAGGGTATGTTTTACCCAAAGGCCATGAGTGGACAGAGGCTGGAGGAGTGGCAGAGGTAAGGTCAAGCCAGAAGCAGGGAGGGAAACAGGCCCAAACCACCTCTTCTTTTGGCCCCTGTTCTCGCCTCCTGGCCATGCTGGTTGTGGACAGGCTCTGCTGCCTGCTCTGGGAACTAGGAAATCGGCTCCACAGCTGGCGGCCTCGGCCTCCTCTCCCTTTACCTACCGTCCTCTGCCCTCCTCCTCCCGTTGTGCTCCTCCTTCCCCTTCTCCTCCTCTTCCTCCTCTCCCTGGGAGCCAGCGTCATGTAGGCCGCCTCTCGGGCACACTTCTCACAGGACACAGGATGCTCCTCCCTGCGTACGGCTCTCGTGGTCCCAAGGATGAAACGTGGCCCGAACACAGGCTGTCCTCCCTCATGACTTGAGGATAGTATGGGAACCGCTTCTCCCCCTCTGGCCTTCCTGCAAGGATTTGAAAGAAGACCTGAGTAACTGCCCACGCAGTTCAGCCTGCCCCGCCCCTCCCAGTACACTCCACTTCAATGTCACAATCCCGGAACTCGGGGCAGCGCCCTTTCAGTCTGGTCTCACCCACCCTCTGCTGTAGGAACACAGCCCGGGCCACTTCCTGAGGGGGCCCCTGCTTTTGCACCCTGGAGCCTTCGCGTGGCATGGTGCTGCTTGCACGAGGCAGCCCTTTCCTTCCCCTGTGAATCTGAGCCTGCGAGAAACCCGGCGAAACACCACCCCCTCCTCCTGCGGGCCCTCTTGGACTGCCTGCCAAAAAAGCTCTTTTTCTTCCCTGCCCTCCCAGAAAGGAAACGTACTCTGGAGGCTCCAGCTCCACACTGTGTGCATCTTGCTCTTACCTTATGATGCCTTTCAGCTGATCAATCAGTCAATGAGCTGAGAAGAACAGTTGGCGTGGGGAGATGGAATGTAGGAGGTCACCACATTGCGACAATTCTAGTTAATTAGCCCTCTATAGGAGGCTCGGATTCAGTCTGAAGCACGTGACACTGGGACCCACGAAGGCTGCAGACCCACCCCATGGAGTAGGACCCGTCATGGCCCGTATTGCCCTACCCGGGGCACCCTCAGCCAGCAAAGGATTGGGCCCCACTGCTACCCACCACTCTTGTCCTGGGACAGAGGGTTAGAGATGGCTACACGGCTACCCCTTCCCCACTGCTAATTCCTCAGATGGGCAACCCTCCTTCCTGGCTCCTTGCTCCTGGACCTGCTCAGCGGGCCAGCTGGAGAGACAGGGCGGAGCTGAGGGCCCAGGTCCTAAGGAGCACTCACGGAGGTGAGCCGGCACCTTCCTCTCATCAGCACCAGGAGCCAGGAGGTGCACACATCAGAAAACTCTGCGGTGACAATCCCCGTCCTGGGCAGAGACCCAAAGGAACTGATACCATCCTCTCCAAGGACAGCTGTACTCCCACGTTCACTGCGGCATTGTTCATGGTGGCCAAGATGGGAAGAAAACCGAAGTGCCCATCCACAGACAGATGGATACAGAAACTACGGCATGCGCACGCGCGCGCGCGCACACACACACACACACACACACTCAGCCTTAAAAAAAGGAGATCTGCATTTTGCTACAACCTAAGAGAACTTGGAAGACATTATAATAATGAAATGAGCCAGACACATATAGGAAAATATTACATGATCTCACTTACACGTGGAATAAAAGAAAAGTTGCCGGGCGTGGTAGCGCACTCCTGTAATCCCAGCACTCGGGAGGCTGAGGCAGAAGGATTGTTGCGAGTTTGAGACCAGCCTGGGTTACAAAGTGAGCTCAAGGCCAGCCTGAACTGAACAGTGAGACCCTGTCTCAAAAAGACAAAAACAAAAAGCAAAAAAAAAAAAACAAAAAAAGAAAAGTCAAATATACAAGCACAGAGAGTGAAACAGTGGTTCTTAGGGGTGAGGAGAAAATAGATTTTGTCACAAAGTAGCAAATTATGTGGGATTAAACAACTCTAGAGATTTAATATATGACATAAGACCTACCGGTAATACAACTGTACTGTACTTGGGATTCCTACTAAGTGTGTACTTTCTAGCTGCTTTTGCCATGAAAACAACATCAAAAAAGGGTAACTGTGTGAGATGATAGGTGTGTTAATTTCTTTTACTATAGTAACTATCTTACTATGTCTATACACCCCTATCACCAAGTTATGTGCCTTAAATGTACACAGTAAAACTTATTTTAAAAAGCCCTCTGGGATAGAGCCTGACCATATTGTTTGGCCCTGGCTTGTTCTGAAACTTGGCGGCAGAGATTAGGTCCGGTGGGGGCAGGGGCTTCACCGTATCGGGTGGTGGCCCAAAAGAATGATACCCCCTGAGCTCTGCAGATTTCCGTGCTGAGGCCCCTGCCCAGAATCAGGTGGCAGGAGGAAGAGTGGATCCTATCTCAGCCTCTGAGATTTATTTCTTGATGTCCCTAAGGCCTTCTGAGAGCCACAGCCATTCTCTGCTCAGCTGGGCCCTCACCTCTGCTCCCCCAACGCCAGTGCCAGTACCTCCGTTCCAGCCTCAGAGCTCCAGAAACAGACACCTGATGTCACCGTCTGACAGCTCACCCGAGCACAGGCAAAGACAGCACAAAAATGCTGGGACATGCACACGCACCCCAACTTAAATCAACCCTCCCCCTCTGTGAATTGAGCTCACAAAGCCTCCTGCGTGTGTGAGTGCGATTGGCTTGAACCTCACACCAGGGCCTGGTGGAAAGGAGGAGGGCAGATGCTGTGAACCCATTTGTCAGGCGAGGAGCCCAGGATTCCAGGAAAATGAGAGATCCGCTCAAAGTCACACTCTCCAGAGCCAGGGATCATTTTAACGCTGACAAAACCCACCACAGACCATGTCTATGAAATACCTAGTGTGCAGCAAAGTGCCGTCCATGCATCTAACATGCACAACAGTCTCGTGAAAGAGACATTATCATCCCCATTTTACAGATGATGAAACAGGGACTTAGAGCCAGGCGCAATGACCTACACTTGTAGTCTCAGCTACTCCAGGGGCTAAGGCAGGAGGATCCCAAGTTTGAGGCCAGCTTGGGCAAATTAGTCAAACCCTGAGTCAAAAATAAACAGGTCCAGGCTAGAGCTCAGTTGTGGAGCATTTGCCTAGCATTCGTGACGTCCTGGGTTCAATCCCAAGCACCAGGGAGGGAGGAGATGTAGAATAATTGAAGAACCTATTCCCCTAAGCAGCCTGATTCCATAGAAACATCTGCAGGCAGAGGACCCTGTCTACCCAGTCTCTGAATCCCAGCATTCAGACCGGAGCCTGGCTGCAGAAGGTACTCACTAAACATGTGGAACTTCGATCAACTCGGCACATCTGCCCTGCTACCCTCGCCTGATTTTTCCCGCCAACTCCCTCCTAATTCCTCACACCTCTTCAGCCAGCCATTCAAAGCCTGTCTCAGGAGGTCAGGTAACTGAGCTGTCAGGCCCCCCTTAGGGGCTGGGGAGCCCATCCTCCACCTCACTCCCCACTCCCACCAGCATGCAGCCAGTGTGGTTTGTCCCTGTGTCCGTCAGCTTTCTCTCACTGGAACCCATGCCTGAGAGAATGAACTGATACAGAGGAAAGGTTTGTTTTGGCTCACAGCCTCAAAGTTTATTATTCACGATAGGTGGACTCATGCTTTGAGGCTTCTGCCAAGAGTTCCCGCTGGCAATGGCAGAGAGTTAGTCAGAGCACAAAAACACGCACCTCAAGCCTAGGGAGCAAACATAGCTCAGTGGTAGAGCATTTACCTACCATGCATAAAGCTGTGGGTCCAATCCCCAGTACAGGCCAAGGGATGGAGTCCCACAGTCCTCTCTGACAGCACAAATCCCCATGACCTAACCACCTGCCACTAAACCCTGCCTCTCAAGGGTATCATCACCAGCCATAGGGCCACCCTGGTATTATGGCTTAGATCGGAAATGTTTCTGAAGCCTCATGTGTCTGGAAGTGACTGGATCATGGGGAAGCTATAGTTGACTTGCCATTAGGAGGTGAGGCCTGATTGGAGGAGGTGGGTCATGGGGAGTGTGGCTAGGAAGGGTCTTTCTCCCACCCACACTCCTCCTGCCTCTGCTTCTTGGCTTCCATGATTTGAGCAGCCTTCCTCCACCATGCTGTTCCACCATGGTGTTCCTGCCTTGGAGCTGGCCATGGACCAATCCTCTAAAACTCGTGAGCCAAAATAAGCACCTCCTCCTTTAAACTGTGGGTGTCAGGTACTGGGTCTCAGTGACCTGGAAAGTGACTAAAATGCCTGGGAACAAAGTCTTTAACTCTTAGGCCTTCCGGAAACATTAAAGACCCAAACGGTAGCGGTCCCCATGGTCTCCCCATGCCATAGTTTCTCCATCTGTACCGGATACGCAGGAAGTAAGCAAGCAGACTGCTAGAGCAGAGGCCCTGGGGCAAGTCTGCCCTCTGTTTCCTTCAGCACTGAGGATTCCCTTTCTCTCTGGATCCCACGGAGCCCCAGACACACAGAGAGCGGGCTCTAAGGGGCAAGACACAGAGCAGGTGCGACAGCGGCCAGGCCCAGCTTCAGGATGGTCATTTCTAAATAGGGAACACGCTAACTTAGATAGGGTTCTCTCAGGATATGCCCCATAGGGTGAGGCTTCTGAGGTCCTGGTGGATTGTAGCCAGTCCCAGCTGCCTCCACCCGCAGGCGTCAATCAGCCAGCAGTGAGTATTTACAGGGCCTGCAGGCAGGAAGAGATGCGAAATGTCACTTCTGCAAACTGCCAGAGCAGGAGAGGCGCCTCATGCTTGGCATACTGAGTGCCTTCGTGTGCACAATCTCATTTAAGCTTCCTGGCCATTCTGAAACCTGATATTATTATCCCCACTTCAGAAAGAATGAAGCAGAGGACTGGGTGACTTGCCCAAGATCAGGCAGCTAGGACACAGCTAAGTAGGGGCCCAAGCCCCCCAGGACTTTGGGTCCTATGCCCGTGTCTTGCCCTTGGAGCCAAGCTGCCCTTGCCAACATCTCCCACGGCTCCCTTCAAGGCTGGAGACTTCACAGATCCCCCGAGCCTCCTCCTGCCCTAGGATTGCAAGCACAGGTAAAATGAGCAAGGCCCAGCTCCAGATGGACACTGGGTCCAACAGCACCGGGTTTGGTGGTCAGTGAGAGGACAGCCCTCCTCATCCCGGCCCAGGTGGGGCTACTCAGCCCTCACCGTCTCTCTCACTGCTATTGTTTCAGCTCCAGCCTCTGGTAGTCCCATGTGTGACCAGGAATCATGGATGAGAGATGCACAGCTCCTAATCCCCAGCCTAGCACCAGACACCCCAGTACCCCTCACCCAGCCCGAACCCGGGGTGTCAGGTCCATTGAGACCCACTTTGCTTCAAAGCCTCGGCCGGCCGCTCTCCTCTGCCAGCCGTGCGGCCTGGCGGCCTGAGGAT